TTTTTTTTTTTTTTTTCTTCCCTTAACCGATCCGAGAAGGATGAGAGCGAGTGGGGGAGGGGATGACTCACATTTCTTAAGCCTCCAAGTGGAAACCTTTTCTGGATACACATTCCACACAGATCTAAAGAGCTAAGAAGATTTCAGCAGCGTCGGTGCTTATCCCACCTTTATTTACCTGAAGCCCTTGTAATGTGACACTTCCATTCGCAAAATAAGGCTGCAAATTTCAAGTCCCACTCAGCTCTGTTACAGCGGTGCATTTTTGTCTGAGGGTCGCTCTCCTGCTTTGAGGGTGAGATTTTGGTACGGTGCGGGGGAGATACTGCTCTCCCTGTTAGACATAGGAAGGGGAAAGTTCCCTATTTCCAACTGATGGGGAAGGAAGTTTAATCAACACCGTGAGACGGAGCGGTTCCCTGGAGCACGGGGAGGAAAGGGCTGGCCGGGGTTGGAGACACCCCGCGGGGGCGTTGGCAGGAGGGGAGGCATTTCCCTCCGCTCCCGCGCGGCCAGTTCCCGGCGGGATCCGGGCTGCCGGCCCCAGCCCGGTGCTGCCAGCTGGGAGAGGGAGCGCGAAGCCCCGCGGAGCGGCCCGAACCTTAGGGTTGACTCTCGCTCTGGGCTCGGGAAAAGGAGAGAGACACCCGTCGTCCCCCCACTCCTCCTCCTTCTTCCCTTCCCCCTCTCCCCTTCCATCCCGAAAAGCCGCGGGCCTTCGCATCTGCGGCCGCTCCGCGCCGCGCTGTCCCTTAAGGAAGAGCTCGGCCGCCCCTTTCAGCACAAAGACGGAGCTCCTGGGCTGCGGGGACCGCGGCGGCGAGGGCTGGGCCGGGGACGGCCGCTCCGCGCCCTTCCGCGGGGCCTCTCCGCCGGGGCCGGCCGAAGGGACGGCTGCGCCCGGCCCGGCCGCGCGGACTCTGCGCAGTCGGCGGAGCGGGAGCGCAGCCCCGGCGCGGGCTGCGCGCTGAACTCGCGGGGCAGAGCGGCCCCCGGCAGTCCCACCGGGGCTGGGAAGGTCGGGGCAAGAAACGCCCAGCCCTCGGCCCGCCGCCCCCGCGCTCCTCGTTTTCCACAGCGGGGGAGCTGGGAGGGCCCCGGCAGCGGTAGAAAAGGGAAAGTTTGCGGTGCCGCCCGGGCAGTGCTATGCTCTCCCAACGCGGTTCGGGCGAGCCCAGCCACGTCGGGGCACTGGACAGCACCGCAGGCACGGCATAGCGGTGACAGTCCGCCTCCCGTAAGGCAGCCGGGTCCCTCGCAGAGGAGTCCTTTGTCTCTCGCTGCACCTTCCACCCCTTTCCAAGGGGAGAAAGAGAAGAAGAGAGGAAAAAAATCCCTTCCTGTAATCATTGTTGTTAATGATCATAACGGCAGGAGCTCGTTTTGGTCCTTTCGTGTGTGTGTCCCCTGTGTGCTCCCACCTCGTCCCTCTCCCTGTGTTTCCCTCCGATGTGTTTCCTTCGGTCCCCACTGAAACGGGAGGATGGAAGTTTTGACAATCAACAAGACACTCGGTTTCCCCCTAACCCCCTCCCCCGCTCGGGGGCGAGGGCTGGGGGTCTTCTGTGCCCCTCAGCATACATGTCGAGGTTGTTGATTTGCGGGATTATTTATTTCCAGTATTCTGAGAACTGTCGCAATGCCTATGATAATTGTCCCTGAATGTCAATCCGTCGGCAGGGCATGAGGAGGAGAAAGGGCGGCGGGGAGGGTCGCATCGCTGCGGGTCTT